GGGGGGATGTCGGAGGGTTTTGCCTGAAATTTGAACTTCAATTTATTGTCAAGTATTAGTAAAAAATTTCTCAATACAAAGTCAGTAAAATTTACATTTTTTAATTTACCTCATACAAATAATTATAATGGATTCATTTATCCTTTTCCTTTGCCTGCTTATATTATAAAGTACCCTCACCTGCATATATTAACGATGCAATTAAAATATTTATAGGCACTGTTATGAGTCACGCAAGCATGCATATATTTAATATAAAATATCTATAAGTCTTCAATCCTAGCTAATAGTACAATGATAGTGACTATTAGTTTGTTGCCATTAATCCGTCAAAATCAATAACTCTATGAACAATCAATAGAAGATATACTTAACGGCAACAACGTTATAGAGGAAAATATAGCTACGTTTTGGTTAAGATTGTTTTGGTTAAAATTCTACCAACATGGCTATCATGCATATCATGCATGTTGCACTGGAAAAATACAGTAAAATCCACACTATAGAATTTGCAATTGCATCACTCTATCCATATTATTTCCATACTATATCCATGCATATAGGAAGGAATTTGCATGAATTAGTATGAAAAATTAAATGCATGATTTCCATATAGTATTTCCAAAGAAGATCCATGCCATTTTCATAGTTAGGATTTTGAAGAATATTTCCAGGAATATTGCAAGCCGAACAGCGTGAATATTGCTGGGGGATTGCCAGGATCGTTAATTGAGCAAGATATAATTTTCTTTATCAATTTCTAGGAACCTCCAGAACCAATTTCATCAAGCATTTCGCCGATAACACAAAAATCGTCAAGTAAGGCTTAATGGTCAGTGGCGTAACGGAGGAAGAGGGGTATAGTTAGGCGTATGTTATAGTCATTGTTTGACTGAGACTGATGACACTGATATTATATTTATATTGAATATATATATAGAATCTTAATCCGGAACATTCCGAGTCTATAACAAAAACAATAACAGTCTCCAACACATGTAACAACTAAGAATAACTTAATTTTGTTTTATTTGAGATGGAACAAAAAAATCAGCTACCGTTGTCGATGGAGGCTTTATTATTTAGTATTATTAATTTTGCATTTCCCCATCGATTCTTAACCTGCATTTTTTAAGTTTTCTAATTTTCTGCGCGATAGGCCGTGGCTGATGGGGGCCCCCGACAGTTAAGGGCCCCCATATAAGCCACGGCCTGTCGCCCAGAAAATTAGAAAACATAAAACATTTTGAACTAACCCTACCCAATGAACGCTACGCCACTGTTAATAGTACACATTATGACTATATATAACAAAAAACAACAAGAAACACTGAGTCAGACGTCATGTATACGTCAAAACTTCTAACAATGTCAAGTTCACATCTTGGTGAAGATTTCATTGCTACAGTATATACAGGTAGTTGTAGTGACGAAAGCACATGTACATTATATAAGTTAGTTACAAAATTATTAGTATAGGTAATAGTATATATGGTTTCTCGTACAATTTAAATAAACATACACTAGTGAGTTTTTCAAAGACTTCAAATTGCACTCGTCCTTCGGACTCGTGCAATTTTGACTGATATAGTCTTTGAAAAACTCATTCGTGCATGTTTTTTCCAACTTGCACTCGAAACCATATGCTATTACCTAAACTAATAATTTTGTATAATTAACTCATTTATATAATGTGCATACTTTCGCCATAACTATAGCAATTAAGTCTTTACCAAGAAAATTAACAAAGGATTTGACAATAAAGCTACAAACAAACAAACAAACAAGATTTTATTACATTTTTGTGGTTAATTAAATTGCACAATACACACTTTTTACAGCAAAATCTACATCGAGAAGAGCAGAAAGTTCAAACACTCAACCAACAGGTATGAAAATTGCTGTAGTTCAGTTGTTTTAAAATAATGTTTGTGGTTAACTTACGCGTAATGAATGTGACATATTTATATGGGAATATCTACAGCCATAAAAACAGAAAGTTCACCAAGTCAACCAACAAGTAAGCTCAAAATCAGTCAAGATAATCAGCATGCCCCAGACTTTTTATATAAAGAAATAATGTTATAATAAACTGGCTTACTGTCATAACAAATCGAAGGATTACCATGCAATCCAAGTAATTTAAGTCGACAATGAACAATCGAATACAAAATTGTTCTTATTTGTGATGTGATATCT